AAACTTTAATAAAAATAAACAGTTTAAATTATTACAATAATATTATTTATTATTATATAGTTAAATTTATATAATTATATAAATTATAAATAATTATTATTAATATTATAATTAATATAATTATAAATAATAATTATAATCAATTAAGAATTGTTAATTAATTGAAGAGAACCTGAAAATGTAATCTATATCTATAATTCTCAAAATGTGTTTGTGTGTATGTGTGTGATTGGATGTTGCTTATGTGTTTCCAGAGTTTTCATTCGATTTTGATTAAATATTTTTGCTTGAAAGATAATTCTTCAGTGCCTGTTTCGAATCCAAATTAGCTGAAAAAAATTACAACCTTGAAGGTATTAAACGACAAAAATTCCCAGTAACACACAGTCGAAGACGGGTTATACTGCTAGTGAGCAATAAAACAAAAAAAGTATATTTAATGGGCCTGAAAAGTTGTGAAGAAGGTTACTAAGTTTTATAGGAAAGCTCCCAATTCTTATGTTAATATAATTAAGAAAGAAGCAAAGGATATTACTAATAGAATGGGCATCGGTGACAAAGTGCATACACTTAGTGAAAGGGAAGCATTCCTCACAGTTAAAGACCATAAAGAAAACTTTCGCAGCTGTCCTTCTTTTCGCCTTATTAACTCTATAAAGATGGAGCTCAGGTTTATCAGCCATGCTATTATTCACAATGTCTGTGATTTGTTGAGGGTAACCACACAGGTAAATCAGTGGCAAAGCACTAATAAGTGTATTTGCTGGTTCAACATTATTAATAACAAGAATAATTTGGTCTTCATTAAATATGATATTTGTGATTCTTACCCATCCATTACTGAGAAAGGTCTCATGGAAGCACTGAATTAAGCCAAACAATTTGTATCTATTCAACCAGACCATATAGAGGTTATTTTCCATAGTAGAAAGTCTGCGTTATTTCATGGCAGAGAACCATGGGTAAAAAAATCCTATAATAGTGGCTTTAACGTTCTCCAAGGATCTCTTGGATGGGCAGAAGTTTCTGAGCTTATGGACATTTATATATTAAGTAAAATTAACAAAATTGTCTGCATAGACAGCCATGGAATATACAGGAATGACGACCTGATGACTGTACCCAATAATAGAAGGACCAACAATACCATTTGAAAGAAGCTTTTTAACCCTTTGAGCCTTGACCATCACTTTACCTGTGGTAGAGAAAAATGATGCAATGCCCAGACACCGGTTGAACAGTGGTAGAGAAAAATGATTTAATGGCCATACCAATACATACCAATTATTATTTGTGAATTTTGACTCTGGAGTTCAGGTAGAAGAGTTAAAATTGTTCAAAAATACAGGGCTGAAAAGGTTCTGACCTTTAAGGAATTAGGCTTCAAAATTAAGGTTGAAGTAGACAGGGAAATTGTCCAATATTTGGATGTCAAATTTGAACTCAGCGCTGGTACTGTTACACCTCATATGAAACCAAATGCTGTCTTCAAATATGTAAATACCAGGTCAGGGGTGTTGAATGTAGGATCTCAAGAAATTTGTCTACAAGGGAGATTTTTAATCATAAGAAAAAGAATATGAAAATGCTTTGAGAGAGGTGGGGTGTATTCGCCACCATTGGCTGCTCTTTCTGCCATTTGGCCGCTCCTTAGTAAACTAGCAGACAGGACAAGCTTTACCTTCACAACCCCTTTACTCATAGAATTAATGGCAGCAGCAAGCGAGTAATTACACAACCAAATTTGTTTGGTACCTAATCCTAACTTTAAGAGTAGTTGATAAAGGCAGTGTTGTCCAAACCTTCAAACAACATCAGGAATAATTTTTATATCTAGAGTTTTTACTCCCATTAGATAGGGAGTACTTGAACAAACTCTTCGGTATAATGTTAGCCCCTTTTTGCAAACCAAAACCAAGCTGCTTGGCCTGGAACCAGGATCAAAGTGTAGTGCTCATATACACTGCCTTTTTGATCTTCCTGGTGCTTCGTGGAGAGAAATACACTTTGGTGTGATCCCGTTTCTGCGGTTGATCCACCCTGAATGTTGTATTTTTCTCACTGACTCCAGCTTTGTCAAGACATACACTTTGACGTGATCCCGTTTCCACAGTCGATCCACCCTGGAAGAATGTATCCTCTCTCTGTTTAGGGATTCTCACTAACTCAGCCCTGTTTAGGGATTCCAATTTTGCTATGCCCGGCAATCAATCAGCTACTGTCACTGACTTCTTTTTGCCTGGCAATCGACCAGCTACCGTCGCCAACTTCTCTACATGCAGCAATCGACCAGCCACCATTGCTGATTTCTCTATGCCTGGCCATCCCTAACTGAACTCTCGATCCAAGCATCTTCCACATTGTATATACTTGTACATAACTATCTTTATATATTGAAGAATAAAAGTCGACGTTTTTTTCTATTAAAAAACCTTCACCTTCATTCCCTCATTGTCTTGGTTGTTCAACAAAAACCAAAAGCTTGTAGTGGCAACATGCTTATTGGTTCCACAACAGGTGAATATTACCATCTTGGTTCTCACAGCTCATGCCCAATATAAATGTAAAACTAGGAGCAGGAACACAATAGGGTTTAACCCCCTTTTAATTTGCAGTTGAAAACTAATGTTGGAAAGATATTTTTTAAGTTACTGGAAAAACATTTTCCTAAAAACTCTTTAATTGTTAAGGTGTTTAATCAGAATATGGTGAAACTGAGTTACAGCTAAACTGGTAAGTTGGAAAATGTAATTAAGAATCACGTAAAAATTTTGGAGATGTAAAGAGGTGGAAGGGAAGAAAGGAGGATATGAAAATGAAAAAAAATGAAAAAATAATTCTCTATTGGATGGGAAGGGCTGCACAGAAGCCATCATTTACATTGTTGAAGTCAGTGATATGAATGGTTTCAAGAAAATATAGGGTGACCTCAAAAAAATGGGAATTTTTTAAGTGCCAGACATGAGCAAGTGGCAACACTGCGAGACAGTGACCTTGAGCAAGTAAACATTTCACCATTTAGAATTCAAGATGAAATTCATAGTATTACATCTGAGATGTTGCAGCAGTCAATGAGGAATCTCAACAGCAGATTTCAAGAATGCATTCGTACAGGAGGACGCCATCTACAGGACGTAATCTTAAAAAAATGAAAATTCCATCATTGTTTCTTAAATGGCAGGTTTTAAGATTTCAATTACTATGAATAAAATATTTTTCTTCCATCACTCTTGGTTTTATTGGATTGTTAAATAGTTCCCGTTTTTTGGGGTCATCCTGTATATATTGGATGTACTGAGGGCCTTTTCAAAAAGAGATTTTATAATCATGCTTTGTCTTTTCAGGTTGAAAAAACACAGATATGGCGTCAAGCTGGCCGACTGTGTATGGAAATACCAAGAGATGTATAGCAGGGGCCCTTGTGTGAGGTGGACCATGATAAGGAAGGTAAAACCTGGTAATATTCATGATAACTGTTACTGGTTGTGCCAGGAAGAGAAATTGGTTATTGCCATGTATCCTGATCAAGGTGTTTTATTAAATGAGAGAAAAGAGATTATGTCTGGGTGCAGGCATTTAAGAAGATATTTTTAGGTACCTATGAACCCGGATGAGTGAAATAAAACTCAATAAATAATTTTTTTTCTTCTCTCCCCTCCACTTATCATCATACTTTTACCCCCTTATTTCAGGCACACTCACTTCAGTGTTCTGGCATATTGGAGTAGTTTCCTGGCTTGTACATCCTTCCACTTGCCTGAGTAGTCAAAACCTGGGTTTCAAGGTAGGCTGGCATTTTATCCATTTCTTAAATATCTTAGCTCTACATATTCGACTTTGAATTTTGTATTGAGCACTTTTTTTTATTGTCTATACATTTACTGTTTTCAGCTACATATATATATATATATATATATATATATATATTTTAACGAGAAACTGACACTTTCTTGTCTCTGGTCAATGGATCTGATAAGGTAATTTAATTTATTGCCACTCTTATCTTCAAAATTGTAACCCAGTCATACCACACAGTTTTTCTTTCATTCAGACCTAAAGAACCCAAACACAATACATGACATGTTGCTGAAATGCGTCATTTATAAGCTTTTTCTGCTTTGGCTCCTCATCTCCACACATAAATACTCATATATATATATATATATATATATATATATATATATATATATATATATATATATATATAATAAAATAGTTGAAAAGACCCCATTTTGGTTATAATTTATTTTGTGAATATTTTTATATTCATCTCTTTAGACCAAAGGTTCTTATTCTAAAAAAAATGAATATAAAAATATTTGCAAAATAAATTATAACCAAAATGGATCCTTAAGGTTTTTTTCTTGAGTTGTTATTATAATGCTCTGTAGTTTACATTGAGGAGCTCTCTCTGGATTAATACTCTCCTTGGAATTATCCCTACTAGTTACAAATTGGTTATATATATATATATATATATATATATATATATATATATATATATATATATATTAAGAAATGGACAAAGTCCAAACAATTTATTTATTAAAGACATTTTTATGTTTAACGTTCTTTTTTTATAGATACAAGTATTTAAGTAAATGCTCTGTTTATAATAAACAGTATTAAATAACATTTACCGGACTGAATGTCCGAGAAATTTTCATAGAAAATATTCGTCCTTTGACAGGATTCAAACCTGCATCCTATACGGAATCGTCATTTACGCTGACGTGCCTTAACCGACTCAGCCACAAAGGAGCGTTTGGTAGGCAAGGTCGAATTTACTACTTATAAACTTCAATCTTCCATGAATCTCGTACATTCATAACTGCTCATGTCGTATCAAATGTAAACAAATGACGTCATATATTAAGAAATGGACAAAGTCCGACAATTTATTTATTAAAGACATTTTTATGTTTAACGTTCTTTTTTATAGATACAAGTATTTAAGTAAATGCTCTGTTTATAATAAACAGTATTAAATTTATGAATTTAATAAAATATATGTATTAATTTAATAAAATAATAGTATTAAAGTTATATATTAAAGATAAGCCATCTTCTTCAGGAGATATACGCTGGAATTTCGAAATGAACACCAAGGTAGAGTAGATTTTAAACTTTTGAGCCATCATGTGTCCTTGAGAACATAGGAGTATGACTTATAAACCTAATGTCTCAGTAACCATTTTTTTAGCAGAGCTCATTGGCCAGAACATTATGGATATGACAATAAAGATGAGGACAGCAGTCCGAACAATGTAAATACCTCATCTCAGAAATATAGACAGATCCTGAAGAAGGTTAAAGCGTACAATGGCTGAAATATTGTGAATATGGCAATAAAGAAAAGGACAACAGTCAGAACAATGTATATAGTGTAAATAGTCATAATACCTCTTCTCTGAAATGGGCAGATCCTGAAGAAGACTGGGGCGTACAATGGCCAAAACATTGTGAATAGACAATTATATAAACAATTTATAAATTTTTAAATATCAGAACAATTTCAGAAAAAAATTTATGTCAAACACGTATTTAAAAAATCATTTTTGAATTTAAATTTAAAATTTCAATATTCTCCCTTTCCTTCAAGTGCAATCACATCAATATAAACATCACTTTCATGTGATTGAGTCCTAGAGACAGAATGGAAAAAGGTTAAGCAATAAAGGAGAAATAAGAACTGAATGAGGTATCCCTAGACATGGGCAGTAGAATGAGAAGAGTCTATCCCCATAGATTAAATAAAGGGTCTATTTCAGAATTCCCTGTAGGTTACCAAGATTGACATACATCTGATGAAGAGTAGATGTCACAATAAAAAAACGTTTTGATAACAATAATAAAGATGGGGACAAATAGTCTGAATATAAATACTATAAATAATTTGTCATGTAATATTTATTAATTAAACATTAATCGTTAAATCATTTGACAACACTTGATACTGACAGACTCTCGGTGACAAATGTTGCCCACCATTTTATTTGCTGACCTCAATATTAAATGGCTGTGATGGACAAACTCTCATCAATGAAAACAAGGAAGGTGATGTTTTAGGCCTCACCAACACCTTCCTGAGTAACCCAGATCAGCATACACCTGATGAAAGCCAGAAGGTGAAACATCCAAAATGGTATCATAATAACAAAGATGAGGACAACAGACTGCGAGTATACCGTTTAATCTTTTTATCTAATTTCTTCCTTTACAGATTCAACAGATTCCAATTCCCGATGAAGACAAATGTCTTCTTGTGAAAAGTGATTAGTGTTTTCCATGTTGTCACTCAGAACAAGAGATAAGCCCTTAACAGATGGCTTATCCATCAATCCAAATCATTAAACATTTTGAATCCTTCATCAACTTGAAGCAATCTATTAAATTATTATTAGCTGGACACAATAGAACAAATTCATTCAGCACCCTGATGATAAATTACATCCAACAGCAAGGCCTCTGATCAGGTTTTCAGGAGCATGGAACCAACTCTTAATTGCTGGTGTTCCCAGGTCCACTCTGATCTGGGGTGGTAGCACCTGTTAGGCTACCAGCTATGGGCAAATAGTTAACCCCTAAACTGGGGTCAAAACACTATGAAAGTGTAAAAATAGGTTTTAATGCCAGAAATACTCAGTAAAAAAGTTATTACCAGCAATACATTTTTTAAAACAAAATATTACCAGCTACATATTTTTTTTAAAAAAAAAAAAATATTAGCAGCTATACATTTTCGCAAAAAAAATTACCAGCTATAAATTTTTGAAAAAAATATTACAAGTGATACATTTTTGAAGAAAAAATGTATTACCAGCAATAAAAATTTGTCGGCATTAAATAACCCAGTGAGGTTGATGTGCCGTAAAACAAAACAAACCAAATTCATTCATTGATCTTAAATCTTCTGATGTGTCATCTTAACAGCTTCATGTTCTTTCGTATGTTCTTTTCGTATCATTCAAAGAACCATTGTCTTCTTTTTTTTAAATCCTTAAAGCTATTCATCATTGACTTTTTTGTTAAGCTAACTATCCATCATTGTCTTCTTTTTTATTTTTTTTTTTCCTTGGAATATCCTTGCTAACCAAGTCCTGACTCTCCACAACTTCCTCTATTGTTCTAGGTACTTTCACAATCCTTTTATCCATCATTGTCCTATCCTGCTAACTTCTTATTAATACTTTTTTTTATATGGTAATTTCAGGCTGTAGCAACTGATTCTCCACAATCCATTGTTCTAGGTAACTTTCACAATCCTTTACTATCCATCATTGTCCTTGTTCTGCTAACCAAGGCCTTTTTTTTTTATATGGAATATCCTTTCAGGCTGTAGCAAGTCCTGACCTCCAACTTAAATTCAATTGTTCCCTTTCACAATTGTTCCATCATTGTCCTTGTTCTGCTAACCAAGGCCTTATTTTTTTTATATGGAATATCCTTTTAGCAAGTCCTGATCCATCTATTGTTCTAGGTACTTTTCACAATCCTTTACTATTGTTCATTGTCCTTGTTCTAACCAAGGCCTTTTTTTTATATGGAATATCCTTTCAGGCTGAGCAAGTCCTGTTTTCTATTGTTCTAGGTACTTTCACAATCCTTTACTATCCATCATTGTCCTTGTTCTGCTAGTAAGGCCCTTCTTTTTTTATTGGAATATCCTTTCAGGCTGCAGCAAGTCCGAACTTCTCCACAACTTCCCCTATTGTTCTAGGTATTTTCTACAATCCTTTACTATCCATCATTGTCCTTGTTCTGCTAACCAAGGCCTTCTTTTTTTTATATGGAATATCCTTTCAGGCTGTAGCAAGTCCTGACTCTCCACAACTTCCTCTATTGTTCTAGGTACTTTCACAATCCTTTACTA